TAATGGAGATTATCAAATAATGTGTTATATGTATCATACTGAAAGATTTTAGAAAATGTTCCCTATTGATTTTGATTTATATTATTAGTTATAATAAGTGCATAATTAAGTATATATATATATACACACCCATAATTTTTTTATATATTTTTTTATTTTATATATTTTTATATATTTTATTTTATATATACGGGGTTCGAAACAGCAGTGGTTATATGAACCCTCAGGGTGCCGGTGTTTTTGAAAAAAAGCTCATATGTAAGTATGTTGGGTTCGAATGCAGGGCCGCAGGATTCGAACCCGGGACCTTTACCTTACAATGATGAGCGCCGTGTCAACGCCTAAACCGTTGCGGCACCGACGCATATATATAAGTATATAATTATTGTATGTTAGATGGTTTAAATCTAATTCAAAGAAAACTTTCCTTTTTAATGAAATAAATAACTGTTATCATGCATAAAGTAAATCCAAAACTAATAAAAGAAATTTTCGTAACAGATAAACAATTGAAAGTGGACTTTTGATACACCAAAAAAATGAGGAAAGAATGAAATTCAAGTCAACAAACCTTCTCCAAGCAACGAACACTGTGCTAGTTTGTTGAACAAGGACGCACATAAGTAAGATACAGCTAGAAAAGAAATGTTAGTTTGTTTTTGTTGTGTTTGTTTCTAAATGTTCGTAATTTTTTGAATGAACATAAATGCCTAAACGTAACGTTTGTGTAAAAAAATCCTGAACGTAACATGACTCATCATGAGTTACCAATATTACGAATAATTTCAGTTGGTAACCAAGAAACAAAAACAAAGTAAGTAGGATCACAACATGTATCAATCAATAGAAATCCTGTTTAAACAAATAATAAGGCACAGGATAAGAAGAGAAAAAATCCCCACGAATTGATCAAACATGAGCTAGACATATGAATGATCAAGAGTCATTCATGTAAGTTTGCTTACTAAATACTTTCACTCTCGAGAAACTTATACTCTTAGATAAATCTCAATTGTCATTTAAAAATAACCTGTTCATTCAATAGGGATCAACAGAAATGAACTTATCAATCGGCTTTATTTATTATCACAATTACCATAAAGGCAAAAAGGTTTACAAATTATAGAAACACAACTTATCAGGAGATTATTAAGGTGATAATAATTTAGTTAAATTTTTAATTAACAACCCTCGCTGATCAAACCATAACTTGTAATTTCTTGTAGACTTGAATGGGCCTAACCTAGGTTTTTAAGATCGAGATTCCAGAGTATATCTCTCGATCGATCGCTATAATTGTTTTAAATTTGCCAAATACATTTTTCTAAAGAATTAAGAATAATAAAATTGAAATTTGTTTTGATTTGTTCATGGGATCAGGTTTAACTTTAAGAACCAAAACTGATAAATTGAGGGAACACAAAGAATTCTAAATTTTATTTTTATGAGTATTTAGTTTAGTGAGTTTACAATAAAAAAAAAGACGCAAGAATATTTTTACAATAATAAAATAAAAGAGTAGTAATAAATAAAAATCACCGTACCGACAAAATTAATTGTCGGGCACTAAACGTCTTCCTCAGTCTAAGGTATAGTTCTAATTAAACAAAAAATTGGGATTTGGATTTAAATAAGCTTAAATCCCACATGTACGTACATAGATACAAACATGTGCCGAGTTGAACCTATTCGCTTCTTGTAGTCCACCGCCAATTCCAGCTTTTGCTATTATTTAGTTCTAAATGATCTAAATAAATGTACAAACAATTGAACGAAAATTTACTAACACAGAGTGACAACAGTCTAATAGTAAATTGAGGTTGGTAAATATTATTGGTACAATTTATTTTAATAATGTATTTTTAACTGTCTTGCATAGTTGTGTCCTGCTACTCCATGTACTGGTCGATGAAACTCCTGTCTTAAATAATTCAGCCCAACATCTTCGGTATCCTAATCATCTAAAATCTGTTGCTGCATTCAAAATCCCCCCAAGTGTATAGGAAAACATTTTCTTTTTTCTGTTGAAACGGTGTTCCTGGTTGACCCTTTATTTATCGAGTACTCGCACTGTGCCAACCAGTTACTCCATAGCATTCTGCTGTTTGCCATCCTTTCTCTGTCATCTCATACGACTGCCGAAGGGAATCTGCAGAATCTTTTGGGCCATTATCTTCGGTATCCTAGGGATGTCAAACATGATGGTGCATTCGAGTTGTCCAGGGGAAACCAATACATTTATTTTGCTCAGTTGAAATAATTCATGTTCCTGATTGATATTAATTATTAATAGTTTTTGATGTCTGTTATCCTTCCTGAGTCACCTCATACCACTGTCTCGGACATGGAAAATCCTTTGGGCCATCCTCCTCGGTGCCCTATTGATATAGTCGTCCAGGCGTACCTTTCTTTTGCTCCGTTGAAACTATATCATGTTCCTGGTTTAAATCATCGCTCACAACTTGTAGTATTCTCCTGACTGCCATCTTTTCCGGTCTCATCCCAGACGATTGCCTAGAGACTATGGAGAATCCTTTAGGCCATGATCTTCGGTATCCTATTGATATAGATAAAGTCTGTCTAGGTTCACTTCTTTACAAGTCCATAATGATTCAAGCGAAAAATGTTGTAATCTGTGAAGGAATACTGGAGAATAAATGTGGGAAATGAAGTGTATTCAGGAAAGAGGAACAGATGGATAACTTAGGATTGGCTTGATCTAAAATCGTATATCTTTCTAATTTTGAATATTTTTAAATCCTTTTTGATGTGTAGTTTGATATTTATTTTATGTTACAGTATATATTACAAAAATTTACAATTTATTGTCTCAAAATAATATTAATAATTTTTATGAGACCTTAAGAACTCTCTTGTGGGATCTGCGTGATCAGCAATTTTATTCATACATGCCACCAACTTTCTTTATATTTTTAAAACTAACTTAACCTAAACTAAAAGTATTGTTTGGGTGCGTTCCTAGATGTAGCACAGGTTTTTTTTATAGGGTCTGGCACATAGGCATGCTTTATAAACTTTAACGTGTCCTACCCACTATCTTGTCCTGAAATCCTACCTAACAGACCACTGCTTCAGACTGAGGTGCGGCAACGAGTTCTCGGAAGTCAGACATAAGCCGCCGTCCCACAAGGGAGCATTCTCGGTCCCATCCTTTATATCGTTTATACTGCTGACCTACCTATACATCCTATATCATTCATTACCTCCTCTACTTCGAATCCCAACCATGCTACCTCCAATATTTATGAACACCTTGAGCTTACTGTAGACTGGCGCAAAAATTGGAGGACAAGACTGAAAGAAGAAAATGTAGTCAATGTACGTGCACGTTGAGAAAACACCCTTGCTTTCCATTAATCATCAACAACAAAGAGATACCGACTTCCATTCAAGTCAAATACTTAAGACTGTACCTAGAGAGCATATTAACATGGCCCATACAAGACTAAAGAGACAACAACTCAACAGAAGACTTGAGCAACTTCGAGGACTTCTAGGACCAAAATCTGCCTTGACCGTCAAAACCAAACTAACGTTATACAAGACTTTACTGCGACCCTTTACTTGGGGGTGGATGTTCTGCGACCAGGAGTGGAACTTCTGTCCAACCCTCCAACATCCAGCGCATCCAATACATGAAGTCAAAAGCCTCCAGACAAATTGTCGAAGTTCCTTATTCCATCCAAAACCTCACTATCCACAACGATAACATTCCTTTTGTCAACGAACTGATCCGATCCCGATTCCAAAAGTTTCACACCAACCTCTCGATCCTAAGCCCTATTGCCTGAGCTCTCTGTACACATTCCATCCCAAGAACCCGCCACGTTGCCTAATCGACGCCACCCTTTCCCTTAATCCAATATTAGTAAGTTGGCATGTGTCTCCAGGAGCAATGTTAGCATAGGGTTAGTGATTAGCTGGTGATCGTGAGATGCGGTCTTGTGTGACTAGGTTTAGAAAAACATTTTCTTTTAGTGCCAACGTTTCAATCTTTATTAAGATCATCGGCTTGGGATTTATAACTATTGTTTAGATTGTACACAATGTTTGTAAATCCCAGGCTCTGAAATGATCTAAATAAAGATCGAAACGTTGGCACAATAAAGAAAATGTTTTTCTAAATGTACATCACACAAGACCCCATCTCACGATCTCCAGATAATAATTAATTAACGATCTCTAAATACTACACATTAATGTAGTGTTGTGACCGTGTGGAAAAAACATTTTGTAATCACATTTGTAACATGTACGAATATGTATAAGGTACAAATAAAATAATTGAAAAAAATATAACTTTCCAAGAAATTGTAAACTTAATATCTAAAGTAATTCAGATATCGTGAGATGCGGTCGGGTGTGATGTAGGTTTCAGAAAAACATTTTCTTTATCGTGCCAACGTTTCGATCTTTTATTGAGATCATCTTCAGGGCTCAAAGTGTTTGTCTTCTGTGTAATTGTGCCATCCTTGTGTGTCGTGTTGAGAGTGCCAGAACGGCACACAGAAGACNTAGGTTTCAGAAAAACATTTTCTTTATCGTGCCAACGTTTCGATCTTTTATTGAGATCATCTTCAGGGCTCAAAGTGTTTGTCTTCTGTGTAATTGTGCCATCCTTGTGTGTCGTGTTGAGAGTGCTATCGATTAACGGTAACTAATTTCTACACATTAATATCTAAAAAACACTTATCTTCAAAATAGCATTTAAGTTGATCGAACCGATCAATTGGTTCGAAAGACCTGAGTGCACAATTATGACTCGTTTTGTGCAATGATGAAACCGATGTCAACAGTTGATTTAAGACTTGCTTACGAAAGACCGACGGCTTACCTCGCAAGTCCCTCCGTCCCTAAAAGTCCTTAAGGTGTTTATTGTCGCCGTCCGAGGGCCATCAGGCGGTGGGAGGCCGCCGGGGGTGGGCGATCCGCCCTGGAGGGGGATGAGACATCCGCCACTCGCCAGTCTTCAGCCGATCCTCCGCCGTACAACAACTCTTTGCCGCCCCTCGCAATCTTCATAAACCGTCGACCAGTCACGTCCTCACGTGCCGAGAAAACCTTTGTGATTCTGTGTTGTGATTATGATAAGTGCATTATTTTAATATTTCCATTGGGATTATTATTTCATGATTGATCTCTCCAATAAGAGGTAAAATTTATCTGAATATTTATTTTTCTCTTTGCTAAAATATCATCTTTTCTTATGAATGAAATGACGATAAAGGGTAACAACAATTTTGCAAATTAGTAGAAACTTTAAATACCCTTAACAATATGTGGATCTTAAACAAAATTACAAGTTTGTTGATAATCGAAAAACACTATTACAAAAAAAGTAAAAGAAAATCAATTAATATATGTGCAAAAATTTTAAACACATCTTTAATTAATGACGATATTAATTTTCTTTATAGATTTTTTTCATGTTTGCCAATATCTCTTTGCTTTTTATTATACAAATTTAAATAACTCCTTTATTATTGTCATTGCATTTTTAAACAAAACAACGTTTTATGCTGGTAGTTTGTTTACGTTCCTTGTTTGTTTAACCACCTCCAACCTTTTTGACGTCTTGTTTAACAAAACATTTGTGGCTAACAAAACGAAATTCTAACATTGACAACATGACGGAAAAACACGTTCTTCATTTTAAAGTTACTAAATTTTATTAGTAATTAATAACCTTTTTCCATGAAGAATATGGAAGCTTTGTAGTTTAACAACAATAACAAATGTTGTTTTTAATGTTATTGCAAATGCGAATTGTTAATACAACCAATAAAAGATAACAGATTCTTTGTTCAGACGATTAACTGATTTGTTACCACAAATGATAATAATAACATGTATTGCAAGAATTTTTACTATGTACTGATATATACAATTTTGTAATTTTTAAGAGTATTTGAATATAGAAATTGTATGAATTGCTTTATGCTTAGATAGTAATATCATAAACTGCGTTTATCCGAAAACGTTCCTTAACAATATTTAAGTGTAATTTATCTAGCTTCAACAGGTTGTTTCTGTTTGTTGTTGTAGTATCTGCGTATACCTATAACCATTGTAAATGTAAAATTTCTAGTTTGTTTATTTTCTTTCTTTCCGCATGTATCGTCTTCAAAAACCGTCTAAACTGAAGCGCGACATTGACGGAATTTCAATTATTCAAACTAGCCCTTTTATATATTGATATGCCTATCTTTAATTGTCTATATCTTGCCTATCTATATAATTAATTGGTGATCAAATCATTAAATGTTTATGGTGAACAATATTTTAAATCTTCCTAAATTATATTTACTAATTACAGTAAAGTATTTATTTGCGGATATTTTACGTTTAAAAGCTGAGAACACAAATTACGACAGAATATGACAACCTTTAGATTATATTTCCTAATGAAAACAAAATGAATATCATTTATAGCGTTAATAAAAGTCTTAATAGCAATTTAAAACATTCTCGCAACATTGCTTGTTTATTTTGTGCATACGGAAGTTTTAATAATTCCATTAAAAGTTATTTACACACACACACACACACACACACACACACACACACACACACACACACACACACACACACACACACACACAAACAGAACTTCAAACAGACTGATAAGAAAGAACACGCAGATGCACAAACACACAAAACAATTTAAGTATGACACTTGCAAAGCTTTCTTCTCAAGCTATAAAGTCATATAATGCATAAATTATAATATATGTTACATACATAAAGAAAAAAAAGGTTTTAATCTGTGATTCCAGCATATAAATTTTCAAGATTAAGATGAACGTGAAAGCTTTATTAAAATTTTCCTTGCTGTACATCGAGGTAACGTAATTAATATAAATTCAAATGAAATTGAAATGAATCGAACTGTTAAAGACATTTCTTTAATCTTCGCCTTTTGCATCAATATGGCTCTCCCTTAGTCACATAGATAATGTCATGCCACGTGTTGGCTCTTCACCGCATGGCAGTTGGACTATACAGCACATTGATTCTATGAAAATATGCTCGATTTCTACCATGATCGTGCAAATCCGTTGTCATTCTAAAAGTAGCTCCATTCGCCAATCTTGATCTACTGATCAATTTGACTTCGAACCTCCTCGTATGACAACCGCAGTCTGATTTAGACAGCTAACTTTCTATATTTTTAATATCTTTCTTTTAAGTCAGCAAACCCGAATATTATCAATTTACCTCCTCGATCCTAATATTTGGAATCTGAATATCATTATTATTTCGAATGAATTCAATTGGAATGTGTTTTCGCTGAATTTGTTTGTTTCAGCCATCTTCAGTATAGGTTTCTATTTGTAATTCTCCCCACTTCTTTTTGTATATTTGTGTATAATTAAGCTTGCGGGATTGAGGTTGCTAACAACGGGAGGCTAAGGACGTGGGATCACAGATTTTAATGTGCTTTATTTTGACAATATTGTAATATTGTCGAAAAATATTAGATAAGCGAGCGTTTTTGCCAATGGACCGTAGAAACCTAGAAAAAGTTAAGTAATTTAAATAGATTTGTAAGTATGACTTCCTGCCTTGGTTGTGTTTGTGTTTCAAGCATATTATGTAGATATATTTTTTTGACGTAGGTTAGATCTAATGAAATTAGATATATAAACTGTCACAGAAACCAAAAGAGGCTTTCGGTGAAGTAGGTCCAAACAATTTTTATTCTTTGGGATTCGTTTTAAGCAACCCACAGCAAAACCCTTAAATACAAATTTTATAACAATAAAAAATATAAATTTTGGGGTTGGATTAGCCAGGGGTCATTTTTTCTCTCCTTGTCTTGTGTTATACTTAACAATTCGTAACCCCTCTGGATTTTAACATATGAATATCATGAATATTATAATTTATTACAACAGGTTTATCTTACGTTAAACACTGATGTTGCTTTCAGTCAAAGCCTTTTTTGCCGTCAAAATGCCTTTTTGTTTTATTTGTTTGTTTAATGTAAATATTGCTTTTGGTAAATTTGTATATAACCATGTACGACATATTTTATATAGAATATGTTTTTACCCCGGCCACAGGTTATTTCATTTGCTATTGAGATCAGCGAGATAAAAAAAGTTTGGCCGATTCTCCTATTCTTGGTCTGATCGCTAATTCCCATTGAGTTTAGAATAAGGTAGACCTAGATGAGCAGGATTAATGTGACTATTTCTTCTCGTACACCACTATACACACAAAAAGGAATTGTATTTTTTGACAAAACCAGTAATTTTTGTTGTAGAGTAAAAGTGCTATTAAAATAAAAGGGTTGCAAATCCGATATATGTCAGTAGTTGATTTTTAAACGGTATCCTCTTATGAAACATTTTATAGAAACAATGATACAGCTTTGAACCTTATTTTTTCACATCAAAAGTTAATTCATTATTACTTTATTACCAAAACACTTCAGATGTAAATTTTCGTATCATAATAGCATTGTTAAATATATGGACAAAGATACAAAATTCATAATTTTATTTTTGGCTGCCTGATACACCTAACAGAAAGCGCACAATAGCTCATTCCTTCATTATTAATTCAAGGTTTGCAACAATTTAAACTGAAGACAATGGCCGCATTGTTCCAAACCCTTTGAGATTTTTTATTTGTTTTAACTGTTTTATTGATTATTAGATCGGTTTAAACAGAAAATTTGGATAACAACTAGATCTTTCGATTTATTCGGCTGAAACAATAACGATTGTTCCTTTTTTCCCATTGTCTAATCCCCAGTCGTTAAAAGCAACGAGGCCAACATATATTAATTGTACGACCTAAAAAATACGTCATACTTGGTATTATTCATGCTGAAATTAATCTAAAATTGTGCACCGCGCAAGCGAATTAAACAGAAATCTCTCTTAAACTCAAGAATGTCAAAAGTCATTTTACTTTAATTCGGTATGAGCTCTAAAGTTAATTATAATTTTTGCTCATGCCAAATTAAAGTTGCAACAGAGAGAAAATACTAATCGTAAGAGTGCGTTTGGACAATATTTCGGATTAGTAAAATGGCGTAATGTACAGAAATTGTATTGTTGACGCATGTGATGAAACATCGCGCCTATTTTTCAAGGCAATCACTTAAAAATATCTCTTAGGTGTTCAGATATAACTTAACTACCTAATATAACTTAAGCAACAAACTGTTTAATTTTTTATCGATTCTTATATTAAGTAAAATAGTCAAAACCTTCATACAGGATGCTGATACAACTGCCGACATAGAATTCCCTATTGCTTGCGGTCTACTGACCACAGCACCAACTCTTTAAAGTTAAATACGAAAACGCACGGTTAGCAAAGTAGCCTCCATTAGTAGGTCAGTGAACAAGATTCAGATAGATTGTTTTCACCCATCTCAAAATAAGTCATATTATGTGAACTAAACGGCATGACATATATTTTTTGGTCCAAACTTCACGTGGTTGTCGTCATGTAGGTAAAGATAAAAAGATGTGCCCCTTATAACGCCTCAAACAATCAGCGAGAGAGCGCGGACATTGCAATTCATTTTGAGCGCAGTAGTGGATTTCTGGATCCCCTGCTGTGATTTTTTAAAAAAATAACTTGATATAAATATAATAGTACTATGAGTTTGGCTTATTATCGACGGACCTCCAGATGTTGAATAGTCGTCAGTTCAAAAGATTTGCAGATGCCTTGTTGCTTTGTGAATTGAGGCCTTGTTTGTCTGATGTATATCATCGCCTAAATTCAGTCGTATTTAAAAGAATGACGTTCTTATGATGTTTTCGCCCTCTATATCATCAGTGATTTTTATAGAAATTTAAAAGTCACCAGAAGACAGAGTTCAAAAAGAAAAGTACATTAGACAAGTATATTTAGAAATACAGAAGAATCTACCAACAATTTTATTTTGTGAAATTAAAAATACCAAAAAAGAAGTGCTGTGAGACTGGTGGTTTATATGTTGGTGTGAAGGAAAAATTAAAGCTAGACAGTAAAGACTAGTACAAGGCCAGTACACTGAACCTTAGAAACTATAGATAGATAAACCTAAGAAGATAGATAAATTAAGAAATTTATAAAATATTTATGTCTATCATAGCAATGTGGTTGAAAAATTGATTTTGATTCTTCCTTGGACTAACAATAAGT